TTTCTATTGTTTTACTTCATTTTTTTTTTTTTCTATTGGATGCATGACAATTGACCACTGTTTGCAGTTAATTTTATTATTATTATTATTTTCTTTTTATCTTGTTTATATCATGTAACATTGCGTTACACGTAAATGACGTCAATATGTTATATGCATTTGGTTGAAATTAATTATAAATAATTAAAGGTTTTATTTTTTTTTTAAATTAAAGGGGATGAAAGATATGATGTGGTCTTTGAAAGCTCTGAGCATGGCATCCGAATGCATGATTTGCATTATTATCCTCGTGTCATCTAGATGGACGCTTATTCTAATTACTTTAAAACTTTCAACGCATTTTTCTTGATTTTGCCAACTTTCAAACGCAAAATTCATTTAACATTGACCATTGATTTTTTATATTTTCAATTATTATACTTATTTTCAAATTAAACAAAATATAATTTTTACAATATTCTCTTTTAAATTGAACTTATTGAGAGATTACCTTGTGAATTCTTAAATGTGACAACTGTATGACAAAATTTCAAAATTGGTCATGTAATTTGGCCACTTTCCAAAAAACCACCTCATCATTGGCCACTTTCAATCTAGGTCCAATAATTTGTCAATTTCATCATTTTTGGTCCTTTTTTATCCACACCCTGGATAAAAATATGACGTGGCATTTTTAAGTATGACATTGCGTGATTGCGGCTTATGTGGCGGGATTATGAAAATAAATTTGTTATCATCCGACTCGGCAAGACGCTGTTAAAAAGGTTTTGAGCATCTTATTAAACGCGATTAACAGTTAAACCGACATGGATCATCACCGCACCGATCTACACCAAAGAACCGGTCTGAACCGTCAAGGACCGAAGTGACCGACGATTACCGAGGTCAACACCCACCGAGGACATCATGAACCGAGGTCGTCACCTCCTTAAGCAGGTGACAAGGCATCTACGAGAAGCTCTCCTACACCACAAGATCTGTCATCATTTACGTGGGGCCCCCTGCCTCGAACCGCCCATAAAAAGCCACTTTATTCAAAAAGTAGTACGCGGATCCCAATATCTCAGCCCAAAACTACTATAAATAGCGGACCTGTGACAATTGTAAAGCTCTCGATTTTGAGATATATTACCGAACTGTAAACCCTTTATTACGTAACACGAAAAAGCCCATCACGGCTCTTCACCTCGGTTCACCTCGGACCGGGGCCATTGTTGATTCACTCTTACATGCTTTACGTTCAAATCACTCCAAATTACTCCCGTAATCATAGATTATATCGTTGTTAACAATCACATAACAACAAAATTAAAACTAAAATATTAAACCAAAAATAAATTAAATCTAAATCACAATATTAAAACCAAAAAAAATAAAAAAAAAATAAATTAAAAAAAAAAGAAGAAGAACTGCGTCGCGTTCTGCACTCAATTCTGCTGCATCTTCAGCCGTTTCCCGTATGCCGTCGCTCCAGCACCTTCGCCGGCCAATCAGCCCACGTTCCCTTCAGCAGCTCGCCTCCGTCGTCCAACACCACCATCTCCGTCGTCCAACATCACCATCCTCGGCGGCCA